AAGGCATCTATGACGCCCGTCGCTGTTGTTGAAGCCATAATTTCCGTTGCTTCAAGTGCATTTCCCCCATTTTCCAGCAGCTCGTCAGGGACACTGTGGAAATATGTGTCTCTAATTCGATTCCCAGGCCATAATTCGCTCTAAACTTGGACATTTTTGGATGGACATTTCGAACTAGTTATGGTCTGAATAGCAGATTGATCTTATATTAAATAAGTGTTGAAAGTTAAGACTTTTAAAATTAAACTATAATTTAATTCTGAATTTTCAACTCAATTTAATTTTTGTAATATTTTATCAGATGTCCAAATTGTTAAAAACCTATAACCAGCTTGAATACAAAAATAAAATGCATATTTAACTTATGTGCAAACACTTGCGGTACGTATACGCGATCTAAGACTGATTCAAGGGCCTGCTCCTTGGGTTTTAGCCATAATCCAGGACAATGTGGATGGCCCAGCCTGTTGCTGCCACCAAAGCTTCCACTTGCGACTTGCAGGCAGCAAGAAAATGGGAAACAGAATAAATAATACCGACTAAGCTGTGGTAATAATCGCAACCTGAGCGAGTTGGTGGCCCTGGCAACGGACATAAAGTGGAACTTAAGCTGGAGCCGGAGCCACTGATTGAACGCAATGAAGCGTATAAATATAACAATTTATTATTATGATTTTAAAGGCAGCAGGAGCGTGTTGGAGGAGAGAAAAAAAAAAAGAAACTCATAAAATAGTAATAACTATATCGAAGGGCCTGTGAGCCACATCCATTCACAACGCATCAGCGGGAAAGTGCCGCAATCAGGGGAAAATGGGGGGGTGATGAAGACATGTTTCGCACATGAATTTCCCACAATGCGATGGTGGAAAGTGCTCCAGCAACAAAAGCCTAGAGAACTCCACATAAGCAGGCTGACATATTGCCCTGAAATGGGGTGAAAAAGAGTGAATGAGGGTAAGCAGGCCAAATGCGATTATGACTGCCAGATTTAGTTGTCATACAGAAGCACTTAACTTTTGGAATTGTTTTGAATGATGGCGTCGTCGACGAGGATCAGGAAGCGAAGTAAGTGTTCGACTGTATGTCCTTTGCCGCTCTTCCAGCGGGGGAAACCCTGCAATTTGACAAAGGAAGCTGCCCCGCCCCCCCCGGACAGCACTTCGCACCACTTTGACAAAGTGTTAACAAGGCCGAAAGGGAAATGCAGAAGGCGGAAAGCGACGGGTTCCGTGGCGAGCCCAATGATGTGTAATGCCATATAAATTATTTTCACTCAGCCGAAGCGATTCACGAAATGTCTTTATTCCCTAATTGGCCAGCTCACACGGAGAAAAAATCACTTACATTGGTCAATCAGGTTATTGAATTTGGTCTTAAATTTTTAATACATTTTTAGATGGAAAATGTATTTACATTATGATTAAATCCCTTTTAAAGTTAGGCTCCTTTTAGTGTGTATATTTTTGTTTAATAAGGAAAATCAATGCCCAAATAAGTTTCACTTTTAAATTTGTATAAATATTATAATTTACTGGTTCCAATTGTATCTAAAAATAAATTCCCTTTTGTGTACATTGGATGTAAACACAACAATTTATGTTCAAATGCAAAAAACCTTTACATATTCAGATATTTTTATATTTTTAGCACCAATCGAATTTGCCATAATTTCAAACCGCAAAAATGTATATTGTGTTCAGCATTTTTAATGAAATAATTAACATTTATTTGTGCATTTAAGCGTAGAATATATTGACTTACCACCGCCATTTTTGTAGCACAAATAGGGAAATCTCCAGACGTTTGCTAAATCGACGGCGAATCCAATAACCGATAATAAAAAATCCACTTTGCCGCTCCATGTTTCGCGCTCGTCGCTTATGCTATTGTTATCGTTATCGTGTGGCGTGGGCGTCTTTGATTTGGATATATGTCCGGTTGGTGACATCTGCGACTATATAACCCGTCGTGTCCTTGACCCAAAACGTAGAGTTCCCGCCGCCGCACTTTGAAATCTGTGAAATTCAGAAATCAGAGCACTTCAATGGGTAAGTTTTTGCAGAAATGTCAGAAATATCAACCCGCTCGAACCATTTAAGTCCCCCAATCCCAATCCCAAACCCCAACTCTTCAGCAATCCATGGACTTCAATGAGTGTGTTCTGGGCACTTGAAACCTGTTTGGCAACGACATGTGCTCACCCAGCCCTTGAAGAGCTCGTTGGCACATTACGCATACGACAGGTGGCATGTTCAAACACACTGGCCAGCAAACACTTGACCATCCACACCACAGAACAGGCTCATATATCTGTCTATATATGTATGTACTCTGAACTCTCGGGAATCTTTGCGTGTAATGAAACCACAAACACGTCAAACAATTAATCTGATCTACTTAATTCCTCCCCGCTGACTTTAATTGCCCAGAGTTGTGATCAATTAAGCGAATCCAGATTGAGTGTTTAAAGTGCTCTGAGCTGCTCTGGTTTTATTTATGAGCAGCTAGAATTCATCAAGTTTTTGATGAATAGAACAGATAGCTATATTTGCTGGTCAGACCTTAACAGTTTTCAAATCGAAATGTAGGTAATGCATTTTTGTTTTAGCTAAGACCAATTTGTTTTTTTCTAGCACTTATAAGTGCAACAAACTAATTTTGAAGAGAACCCATACCTTGAGTATTTTTTAATGATTGTGATTCTGCAAATAAAAATATTGTACGATAAATGCTTAGTTTCTTGAATTCATAAAGTTTTTGATTTTTCAATAAATCTGGGCTGGTCAGATCTCAACCGTAATAGAATTGGAATAAAAACACTATACTTTAAAATATAATATCGATTTAAAAACACTAATGTTGAAATGTACTGATATTTTAACTATTTTAAATCATTGCACACATATAAATATTGTCTTACAATAAACACTAAACAATTTCTACCAAGACATCAATATAAAATATCTATTTGTATTTTAATTCACAATTTAGGCTGAGGGTATGTTTTTCTGTCTCTTTAGTATTGGAATTTATTTTAATTTTAAATTATATGCCTAACTTAATTTGCATTGTGCTTCTTCATATGCACTGCATTGTATATCTCTTTAAATTGGTTGCATTTACATTTTTTTTGAAGAATTCACATGTGTATTTCGTTTTAAGGAACAAATTTTTATTTTAAAGCAGAATAAACAGTCTTCAGGCTTTAAGATTTTTCTAAAATATGAATCCTTTACTTACCTAATTAATACCAAGCTCAAATCATGAAGTGGCACCAATCCATTGTTAAATAATCCTTGACACTTTTAAAAAATATCCAGAAAACTTAGAAAAAAGCTCCACACAACCAATGCCGAATGCCAAAAACCGAACTTCACTTCACATACATTGGCGGATATGTATGATTTTTGGAAAATGTTCAACTTTCAGGGCCGATGGGAAATTCAAAATCGGAGCTGTTGCGCCTTCGGTGACATGCGAGCGTTTGCAAATGGCTGCTGGCCAGCGGCGCCTTTTATAGTCCGCGACAAGTGGCTGCATCTCTTATCACACCAACACACACCCCCGAGACACACACACACACAGTTTCACACACAGTGCCACTTATGTGCGGAAAAGTTTTGTGTGTGTGTCAAGCGCAGCGGTGAAGTTGAACCTCTAGAGCTGAAATCCGAAATATGAAAGCCAGAAGTCGCATGCGCCAAGGAAACGTCGACGGAACCGGAACGGAAGTGACCAATTAGAGTTGCCTTACATATACAACGAAAACGGTGCGTATACGTTATGTCTGTGTGTACATGCTGTCGCCGCTGTATTGGTGCCGACGGTGTTTGTGTGCGTGAGCGAATGCTATACGTGTGCCCTGTTAACTGAAGATGCTGCTGTTAACTCGAGAGGCTTTTAGCAGGGCCATGTTAACCCGTTGGGGGCCAACTATTTATTCAAATGGACGGGAAACTTTGCAAAGTATCTTTTATATATAATTTGTTAGCTGTTTCTTATTGAAAAATGTATTTGGTTATTTATATCCCATATTTAACGAGACTGATAAAATGGCTAGTGTCTATCAAAAGATAACATTATTAACAATAAAGAAAAATTCAGTCAAATGTAAAATTGCCAAACATGACTAGAAGACTAAGAAACTTAATTGGCATCGAAAAGTACATTTGTTTTTGGTTGCTAATAGAGGTTCAAATTTTGAAGGTTTTGTAAAACAAAAACTGAGTAGCTATATTTACTCATTTATCTTTTTACTTATTTATACTCAACCTTCAATAGCTTAGATGTTTGTCTATGTATCTTGATGAATAACTAAACCTTTTTTTAAGTTTCCCTAGAAGGGCAAACCGAGGGTTAAGCACTGTTAAGGCCACTGGTGCTGGCCCTACTCTATTTTGGCTTTCATCTTGTGCAACGGAACGAACGCTCTCAGTCTCCTTCTCTATTTCACACTCTTTCCCAATATATTCCCACATCTGTCTCGCAAACATATTTCGAAAACTTATTCGAAAACGCTCGCGTGCAGTGCTCAGAATATCTTTTTTTAAATCCCAACCGAGAGCAGTTGGCAACGGACGGTCGTGTACTTCGGATGCGTTAAAGACCAATCCTTGGGATTTTTGAACTGAAAGTGCAGCGGTATTAACACATACAACCAACTGTGTATGTAGAAATCCAGGGCACTTAACGTTTTTGCGACAGTGCGTGTAAATAAAGTGCGTTCTCCTGGACAAAATCAACGCGAATTCTCGCTGGCAAAAAGTGCCACACTATCGCAGAGGTTTTTATATAAGAGGCAAGCGGGCATTATTTTTAATTTAGCTGTTGATATTATGCATAAAGCGAAGAGAGAAAACAAACATCAAAACAGAATAGAATCGGCGAAGCCGGGAGAGTGGCGAGAATAATTCTACGGCCTGGTTCTAAAATCTGAAATCTTTTTCTTTCGAATTCCCCTCGTGTGTGTACGTGTCAAAATATTTATATGTGCACACGCTCGGCGGATTATTTGTTTGGTGAAATTCCACCAGACACGCAGTGCAGCAGTCCCATGTTGTCCGTTTACCAGGAAGCGAAAACACAAATCCCGGCCAGCCGATTGATTCATCTTTTAATTTACTTCAGCCGCGTGCAGGAACAGCAACAAAAGATATGTACATAAATCGAGATACTAGCGCGTATAAAGGAATCCAACAGATATAGAAACGTTCTCCTTTGGTGCTTCTGTTTTTGTTGCTGCTTCTGCCGCTGCTGTCGCTATAAATATTTACAACGCCCGTCTTGTACATAAAGTGTAAATATGTAGATACATTCTGGTAGATACATTCGCGTACATAAACTCTTTCAATTGCTCATGGACAAAAAAGCTACGCAGAATTGAGAGTGAATCAAGTGATATGAACTGACTACCAGTAAACACAAAAGTTAGCTGGAACAACATTTTCAAACGGAAATCACACATGTAAACAGCCCAAAATGTCGAAGAAACCACGTGGACACATTCACAAGATCCGAGAGTTCGAATTGGAGAAGGTGAGTGAAATCATCTGGTCATAATTGGTTCTATCCGAAACAGGATCGGTTCGAATCCAATATTTCCAAATGTAAATAAAACTCGCATTTATTTCCGCACGTATTTGTCCACATTATTATTTTATGATTTATCCCGTTATAAACAAATAGATATAGAAAGGTATTAAGAGTTCGACTTGGCCCAGTCGCGTCTTGATCGGTATGATGGGCAATCTGCCAATAATCTCTTCCCCGGGAAATCGTCTACAATACAATACAACTGGGAAAATGCCATGTTAACGATTAGATTTCTGATCATTAAACACAAAACAGCATTGGGCAGCGTCTCGGTCGCGAATTCAGTAATGTTTAATAGGTCTAGGTAACGCATACTATATACACATGTCTCTCTGTGCATTTGTACATTTAATTGTTCAGATATAGTTGAGGTGGGTCTTTAACGAGGCGTTACATTTTACATAAAGCTCTCTTTGATTTTTCCGCATAGGAAGCAATTAATATGCTATTAATGGAAGCTGTTTTTGTAACACATTTGCAGTCTAAATAGCTCAATTTATAACTGTAGCAATTTGCTTTGAAAAATGTTTATTTGTACTTGGTTTTAGCTCAGTTAAAATATGAACATATGAAGGTATATTCCCTGTTTCTTAAAGCATTATCTGGGTCATTAGTATTTTAGTTTTATTTTCATTTACAAAATGGTTTTTAAAGCACTTGATAATTAATTGAAAATGACAGGTTTCACAAAATTATTATGGTTCCAAAAAGTCTCTTCAAAAAACACACCGAATACATTGATGTATAGTTTCTGTAGCAATCGCATCTATATTAATATGTCATCTATATATAGATCCAGCTTGTGGATGAGTTTGATATCATACAGATCGTCGGCGAAGGATGGTTCGGGAAGATACTACTGGTGGAGCATCGAGGATCACAAACCGAGATGGTCCTCAAAGCCGTACCCAAGCCATATGTAACCCTTCGAGACTTTTACCGGGAATTCCACTACGGACTCCATTTGGGCGTTCACCGGCACATTGTAACAACATACGACGTGGCCTTTGAGACAGCGGGATTCTACGTTTTTACCCAGGAATATGCTCCATTAGGTGAGTTGCTCTAGTATAATTTTGAATTATACAAATACTGACTTTATATTTTCAACAATTGTAGGGGATCTCACATCGAACGTGACCGATTCGGGTGTGGGCGAAGTTTACAGCAAGCGTGTAGCAAAACAATTGGCCTCGGCCATTGACTATATGCATTCAAAGTAAGTTTTACTATATTCACTAGAAAATGCAAGCCATTCAAAAGTGCAGTAAAAGTAAATATATTTTAAGAAAATGTATTAGGCAGAACACAAAATATAAACCACTTTCCTTATAAAGATAATAAATTGTTATTATATATTTGTTAGACTAATTATTTTTTATATTTTATTGGTTTTACTTCTGCATTATAGAGTATACATATACTTAAAAGGGATTAAGTTTACGTTTTTTAAAATAAACCATTTGGGCATACAAAACGTATATTATCTTTTAAAAAAATTAGTCAAGATCCAGAAACTTTTTATACAATTTCAAATTTATGTTTGCTATTTGACTTTTAACATGTGTGATCATTCGAATTCAAATCGACGAAGTCCATCTGTGTTTAAAAACTATTAATATAATAAATGGAAAATAGATTTAACATTTTGTTAAAGCTAAACTTTTTTATATGAATAATCATATTATTTTCCCACAGAGACATTGTGCATCGCGATATAAAGTTAGACAACGTGCTTATCTATCGCTCGGACTTCCAGCGCATCAAGCTCTGCGATTTCGGCGAGTCCTTTCCCACAGGATCCACTGTGGAGCGGCGCAACGAGTGGCTGCCCTACAGTCCGCCTGAAGTATTAGAAATCAAACCGGAGGGCAGTTACAAGTAAGTAACTATAGCTAATAAGGAATCACACAATAAGTTAACCCACTTAACCCCATTTTAGAGCCGATCCCAGTCACGATGTGTGGCAGTTTGGCATTGTGATTTTTGTGTGTTTAACAGGATGTTTGCCCTGGCAGAAGGCTGCCTCCGATGATCCGCGATATGTGCGTTATGTGGCCTGGCAGGGCGGCCTAATGATGATGCCACTGCGGCGCACTCCGCGCCTCTTCAAACTCCTCACCTCGAATGCCCAGCGCATGTTCAAGCGCTTCTTCGCCAGGATCTCCAACCGACCGAAGAGCCTGGCGGATGTGACCAAGTTCCTAGACGACCGCTGGCTGGCCAAGACCGCCCAAAAAGAGATGGCTGAGTACGAGACCGATGAGCTCTGCCCCTCCATGTACTCCTTCCACAGCAGCCCCGACGAGAAGAACAAGCTGCTCTACACCCTCGCCGACTGCGGGATCGAGACCAATGTGGACCGGCAGCAGAAGAAGAACCGGATCAAAGACTGGATAGAGTCGTCCATCATCACGGAGGAGGATGAGGTGAGAGCTAGCAAGTAAAGGGGGCAAATGGATTTACTAGATCACTCTCGAAAAATAATATTATTGACATCCACGATCTGATAGGTATTCAGAATAGTTGGCCACGATGTCGTATCTTTATTCCTTAGGATAAGGACAAAAATTCATATGATTAATTTATGAATTTGAGAAAACGGACCTTAATGGTACAGTTTTATGATTCACCCATTTAGTTTACTCCGTTAAGTCACTTTAGATTGCAGAACACCGAATAAAAATAGATTTACCAACGGATCGTTTAATCGATCATTCCTATCAAAAGTAATATATATTCCTAACTTAGGTCAACATTTTAATTGTTTATTGTTGTGTTGTATAGTGAAAGAAAATAACTTTCGGGAGTTTTACTTTGAAAGTTCAGGTAATATTCCTAAAAAGTGAAATGTTTAAATAACAAAATGAAAAATATCCGATTGTTTTAACCGAGATTGTTAGTGTCTGCTTTAGAGAACCTTATAGATAATTATTTTGAGATCAGAACTGGTACTTTCACTTTCGATGCTTCGCTTTTAATGCACTTGAATGCTAAAGGGAACTGATCTTGAAGTCTTGACAAGAACACCTAATTTAGTATTGAATAACAATAGAATGGGCAACTTGCCAAGTAAAATGTAATTGTCTTAAAAATATCCAATTCCTACAATCCCTATACGTACCAAAAGATAATTCTTTTTTTCCACTTTTATTACAGGAGGAGAACGAGGAGACCAATTCGGCGTCCCCATCCTCGTCGGTCTCCCGGGAGCCACTGCCCGGTCACATCTCATCGCTGCGCAAGCCGGCGGCTCTGACGGAGAGCGCCAAGGAGATCAACAGCACGCTGAAGGACGCCACCCAGAAGCACTTCGATCCGCGAACGGGGGCACTGCAGCAGGGACCCAGCGAGATGGGCCAGGTGGCCATGTCGTATTCCAAGTCCGCCAGTCCCTCCTCCAACTACAGCACCACGGCGTCCACGTTGAACAACGCGGATAGCCTGTTGACCCTGGGCTCGCGGCAGGATCTGCTGGCCAGCAACATGACCATGTACACCTCCATGGAGACCGAACTGAATCGTCTAGGTGAGGCTGATCCTCGGCTGAACCAGCGCTCCCTGAGCAACAATCCCCTGCTAACCACCTTCGATGTGAACACCTCTCCCGCCGCCAAGAACTCAATTGGAGTGGGCACCCGCGGCTCCAGCCGAAGCATCCTCAAGTCCTCCATCGCCACCGCCGCTTATCCCGCTTTGGGCGCCTTTAACCATGGCCAGAGCCACAGCCTTCAGCAGCTTAGCCAGCACCTCCAGACATCCACGGGCTTCACCACCCCCACCAACAAGAGCTCCTTCTTTCGGCGATGACAACCGCCGGCTTCTACTAGTCACTAATCCTCCTTGCCGCACTTTCAGAGCTTTGCGATGCCCGGCACTCGAGCTATGCTAATCTCCCATATGCTTCTCAAGTTAAAGACAGTGCCTACGGATCGGCCGATGTCAGCGAGATGGCGGCGGCCAACAGGAGTCCCCCGCTCATGAAGGACACGGCCTACGACCGCACCAGCGCCAACAGCCACAACATCGCCCGGCGCCAGCGCAGATAGCTCCCAGAGGGATAGCAGCCACTGATTTACAAGTTCCAATAAATAGATATCGTACATTTCTTAAGTGTCGACCACTCCTTTACTTGGACATAGGGAAACGCAACCGGGGGTTCTTATAAAAGTACGTTTCATTTATTACGCATCATCAACAGCCCAGAAAACGAGCACCGCTCACTTCAGAGGAATGAAACGGGAGCTGTGGGTGGCACCGATACCGGGACGACCGTGCTTAACGGGCTTGTAGGTCAGAGCGAACTCGCCCAGATAGTGGCCGATCATCTCGGGCTTGACCTCCACCTGTGGGTTAGAAAATAGAAGTTAGTTATCTAGATCGAAAAGGGAAATTATACAGAGGCTTATTTTCAAGACCTTATTAGTCAGTGTCTCTTTTTTAAAAGCTATTTGTCTAGTATTTTAGCTGGGATCTTTTATTAACTTTGTTGAGTTCTAAGTGTATATATAAAAAAAAAGGAACAAGAATAAACTAAATTACTGTTTAAAAGTTGAGAAACATTTAGAATCTGATTTCCCTAGGAAAACAATTTAGAGTATACTTGAAAATTAAAATAGTTTAGTTAAAAGCATTAAATTTACTTGAAATTGAATATTGATTTCTCAACGTGTGCGAAAGCATGACAATATTAAAAGGTCTATTTCTCTTCTAAACTAACCATCAGATAGAAATATATGTTTGATTCATGAGAACCTCAAGCACTATCCGATTCCGGCAGAATGGACATACACTAATTCGAGTCTATTGTATACAGCGTGGACGTGTGGGTTATAAACTAATCTGATGAAGACACATGAGACGGTCCCGAAAATAACCACTTCATCGTTCTCACCTGGCCGAAGTCCTTGCCGTTGTAGACGCCAATGATGGAGCCGGTCATCTCGGGGACGATGATCATGTTCCTCAGGTGGGTCTTGACAATCTCGGGCTTCTCATTTGGGGGAGCCTCCTTCTTGGCCTTGCGCAGCTTCTTGATCAGGGCCATTGGCTTGCGCTTCAGTCCGCGGGAGAAACGCCTGCGGGCGCGGCTGTGCATCAGCTCCACCAACTGGTTGCTGTGCGTCGAAAAAACCGAAATTAAGGTTTACTCTTGAGGAGTCCTCGGTTCAACTCACTTGGGCATGTCCAGAAGCTGGTCCAAGTCCACACCGCGGTAGGTGAACTTCTTGAAGGTACGCTTCTTCTTCAGATTCTCATCGACTTGCTGCATAAAAGAAAAACACCGACATTAGTTTCCATTTTGCCGGCGTATCACACTGGGAATCCAAAAAATAACATTGGCCATCGCTTGCGGAATGCCGCCGGTTGAGTTTGACACAGCATTTTGGCAAATTCCCGCACGGATGCCAAGTTTTTTATTGGATTTTTAAAAAAATATTTACATCGGCCATCTTTTTTGATTGCGCACAAAAACGGAAAGAGATTTTCTAGAGGAGGTGGGGAAACATCGATGCCAAAATCGACGTCATCGATGTTCTTATCGATATATCGATGTTTAGCGAGGGGGCATCTAGGCTTTTCCATCTCTAGATGGAAAAGTGGTCACACCAATGAATCCCATTCCAGTTTTGGCGCACTTAGTTTTCACTGCTATTTTCTCATGCACCGTTAACCCTATACAGAATGCACTTGAACAATAGAACTGTTTTCTAATCTAAATGCCAAAATATTTAAAATGAAAATTAAGAACACTTTTAAAAATTCAAACTATCGGTGCAGTTTGAAACTTGGTCACATTGGTGTTTCAGCTTTCAAAATACCAAGCGACTTGACAATTTAAAACCAAAAACTATGATTTTTTATTTTATACTTATTTATATGACATAAATTTAAACAAGCGAAAATGAGTATTAGTAACAAATTCAGATATAATGCTAAAAATCTACTCTTTTCATAAAAGCCCTAAATATTTTTAATCAGGGCACCAAGATACATGGATTCCGAAAATTAGAAAAATATCGGACCCCGGGGATTTTCAGAATATTTTTATTTTGTACTGTATTGACTTCAAGCAGTTCCTTACAAAAGAAGAATTTAATTTTAATTTTTATTTAAAACTTTTACGTTGAATGATGTTAGGATCCCGTAAATTCAGCAGAAGCAATTGTTTTTGCTACTTATGTATATTTAAGCTTTGCAGAAAACTATTACTAGATGGCAGCAAACTACTCTAGAGTGCAACATCCTTGATTATGCTACATATTTGGAAAGTACTATTTTCACAGCTCAGCTTGTGTTTTTAACTGCCTTAAGGGTATATTTAAATTTTATTCTGCCTTGACATGTTTGGCTGTGGATTCGGAATCCGCCTTATTTTGGCGTTCCCTTCGAACTCGTTCCTTCAGCTGGGCTGTTTTCAAAGTCACCATCAGTTGCGTGGAGCTGTAGAGCCAAGTGCCCTGAAAAGTGTGAAATATATGTACTGTCAGTACTTAAAATGATTTATTTTTACTTACGATCAGTAGCATACAGTTCAGTAAAATAGGAATTGAAAAAACTGTCGAGATAAAAAGGCCGTTGCTGTCGAAATATTGTTGTTTTGAGAAGGAACTCCAGTTTTGGGCCGCATATTCGTTTATGCTCTCGGTAAAATAAACCGCCAGCACTGAAAGATAAAGCACATGCAAAAGTTGCAATCATTCGAGAATATATCGGGATTCCCTGAGGTTACACGTACGCAGCACTAGGAATAGGAAAACCTGAAAATTTGAGTTGTTTCTGCTGAGAAGAGCAGTTGTGGTGGTCATGATATGCACCAGAATAAGGCCAATAAGCCACGGATCCTTCCAATCGATCTGAAAAATATATAGCCAAGTCAGCGATATCAAATTTGACACTGCAAGTCAAACCACTCACGCTGAGCAGAAAGGTCCAATAGCCAGTGATCTCATTGACATCGATTTGCCCAGGATGCATCGTGTGTAAGGTAATTTAATGTATATTTTTATCTGTATTTGTTTTTATTTCACAAAAAAGTTCAAAAGCCGAGTCAAAACAAATATCAGAGCCATTCACCGCGAACAGCTGTCATTCACCACAAACAGCTGTTATTCACACGGCTACGCCTTCAAGGCGGCCTATGCACGTTAGGGCGGTCGTGCAAATTATTTCACCAGGAAAAGTAATTACTAATAACTGTTACTACCGTAAATAATCCTACTACTTGTGTCATTTAATATTAGCAGTAATATATAAATTTAACTTATATCAAACATTTGTTTAGGCTCATTCGCACCCCAAAAACTTACGTGCAGAGTCCCCTTGCACGTCATGCTGTCTGAACGTGTCGATAACGCTTTCACTGACTCAGTAGACAACATTAACAAATCCGAAAAATATCACAAAGAATTAGTTGAAAAGCAGTCAAAATTGTAGTTATTAGGGTGAATTGACTCAATCCGGGCTATCCCATTGTACGGGCAACGTGTGAATCGACGAATCGGTCGAAGAGCCAGGCAGGATAATCCGGAAAAAGGGGTGATAAATGTGGCACGGGCCACCGACCTTCCCGTGCACCATTCGCACATTCGCTAAGGATTCGGTGGAGTGAAGGTGCCCCAACTTCTGGCCGGGATCGGGCAGCGATCAAAAGTGAACACGGAAGACAACAAAAGGTCATCGTAACATCGTAACGACGACACGTAACGGAGCGCGGCTCAAGGACACGCGGCTCAGACTCCTCGCTCAGAGTCGCAGGCATCGGAAAAGCCGCAGTGTTCGGGCGCTAGGCAAGCCGAAGCCTCCGTCTCCTGGTAGCTGGAAGCTCCAGTCGGCCCAGTGGTGCAACAGCCTTCGCGCCCCCCACGTCCACGCCCACACCCGGCGGCTGCTGCGCAGGATGGCCGTCAAGCAGAACAACAGTGAGGCGGGCGACGCCTCGGAAAACGCCGGCGGCGCCGGTAATGGCATGCCACCCAACGCCAAGCCCATGTCCTCCACCGGGCTGAAGCTGCCCGTCGAGAACGGACCAGCCGAGGGCATGGACACGGGCTCGTCCGCCGGCGAGAGCCTGAACTCCAACCGAACTGGCAAGCGGGACATTAAGACCCTGCTGGCCCACCTCCAGAGCATCGATCTGCCGGAGCAGAGCCACAATGCGATGGCCATCTGCGAGCGCGCCATCGTGGATCTCGCCCGCCTGCAGATCCCACGGGCTAGGGGCTACTGTCCACGCTTCAAGGAGGACGTGATGCAGGTGGGCGACTTTCTGGCCACGCGCAACGAGAAGTTCCACCAGATGTTCTACCTGCGCGTCGTCTACGAGCTGATCACCAAGTCGCCGTTCGAGCCGCCGCCTTCGTGTGCCGTGGCCATTGTGTTCCAACTGTTCGACTCCAATCAGATCCTCGAGGCGGTGCACTCGCTGCTGGAGCAGAATGTGCAGGACACGAGCATCCGGAAGACAGTGAATTTGCTGTGCGACTGGATCACCTACTGCACCTTCTGCAGCAACCTGAATCTCTGGGTGCTGGCTCTGCTCACGGGCCTGCGGGACCAGGGCAAGCGGGTGCTGCTGGACGAGATTGCGTTGGACAACATCGAGAAGCTGTTCCAAGTGATGATCTTCCCGGCGCTGCGACAGAAGGCCGCTCCGGTGGTGTTCCACATGCTATCGACGATTAACCAGACGCCCGAGGTTTTTCACAAGGTTAATTCAGCTCGATTATTAGAATGAACTTCTTAATTGACTTATTGAACTGTCTTCAGATCTTGCCAAGAATGCCTCTGGTGTTGCAGCACATGAAGAACCAGTCGGCCACCATGGATGAGATTGGTCTGGAAGCCAGAAATTGTCTGCAGCAACTGGTGGACCTCACAAGCGCCCTTATGCTGCGATTCTACGATCAGGATGACCTCTATGTCGCCGCCAAAAAGGCTCTGCAAACGTTCGAGCCCTCTCTGAATTGTGTGGCTTTGGCGCGAGCGATGCATGAGAATGCTCAGCCATGGGGTCGGCGGAATGCGAGGGTCGGGCTGGTGAACCTGGGAAACACCTGCTATATGAACAGCGTACTCCAGGCACTGGCCATGACCAGCGAGTAAGTACAGCTAAATACCCTTTTAACGACTTTTAGGATCAGAATATTTAAACAGTGCTTTACTTGTAAGAACTATTAAGGGGTTATCCGGGTCTTGACACTTCAAAAAATTCATTTTTTTCAAACTTTTTTATATAATAGTACAAAGTTTCAGGAATGTTGTCTGAAAATTTCAAGTCGATCGAAGCAAAACTGTAGGAATGGGAGAAATTTAAAGCCCAGCGCGTCGAACGTCACAACGGGCCATTCGGGCTCTGGCGTCGGGCAGATGCGGCACTTTAAACGCGTTTTTCTCAAAACCACTTTTTTGAAGTCGGTAGTCACGATTTCTCAAAAACTATTGCACCGATCAACTTCTGCTTTTGCACACTTCTTTTAGACATAATTCTCTTGTCCTTAACGGAGGGATTTTTTTAATTTTTAATTACAACTCATTTTATAAGCCAAAATATGGCCAAAATTTACGTAAAAAATGACACTTTTTATGAAAAGCGCTACAAAAATTCAATTTTTAATTTTTAAAAAAAATGGCTCGTAGAGGACAAGCGAGACACATACACTATCAGAATAATTTTAGTTTTTTAATTTCAGACAAAAATTGGCGGAGATATTTTGCCTACCGCAAGGACACAATTTTTTATGAGGTCAAGTTCAAGCCTGCCTCAACGGCTCAATTTTAAAAATATTTGGATCAAATTTTTACACAATGTTGGTCAAACCATAAACATTAATGTACAATAAATGAAATTTGTGAAATTGTCATAAGATCTTTAAAAAAAATTTACGAAAATAGGCTTTTTTTCGTGCTCCAAGACCCGGATAACCCCTTAAAGCAATGATAAAATTGTATTGCCATTGGTAGTCCTTGGTTTAATATATATCTTGTTTACAAAAGTTATATTAAATGTATATTTCGCTTGGCGAAAATAATAAGCAAGGTTATCTATTTTTAGGAAGAACGCATGTAATTATTACATTGCCTGATATACCTTACCTAATTCTCTACTTATACTCACTTTTGTCTTCCAGTTTCAGCAGGCAGATCCTGCTCATCGAGTGCGATTCACTGCTGCTTATGAAGGTTCAGCAGCAGATCGCCCTGATGCACCACTCGCTGCGCTACGAGCTGACGCCTTCGCGAGTGCTGAATGCCACCCGACCGCCTAGCTTTACGCCCGGCCTTCAACAGGACAGCTCCGAGTTCCTAGGATATCTGCTCGACCTGCTGCACGAGCACGAGATCAACAGCCCATCAGCCGCTGGCCGCAGTGTCGCTCCTCCGAAGAACAGCTCGGAGGTCGAGGACGTGCCCGCCCTGCTGAGCGAGGAGATAGTGACCAGCGGCGTGATTCCGTACAACAGCAAGGATCGCGAGCTCTGCAGCGGAAGCAGCAGTGGCGATGGTAGTCACAAGCCCACTCCCACTCCCCCTGCGACACCCACCAAAGGCACAAACGGCTCGCAGCCCCAGGTACAGCCGGTGAATCCTCCGAAGCCACCATCCACCATTGACAAGACGTTCGCCGGCAAGTTGTCCACTACCTACCGATGTCTGAGCTGCGGCTGGGAGAGCCGGAACGAGGATAGCTTCCGGGAGCTTCAGCTGTCTTTTCCCGATGACAAGGACGACTGCGGAGCCACCAACTACTCGGTGCAGGACCTGATCGAGTACTACTGCTCGCCGGAGAAGCTGGATGGTGACAATCAGTACTTCTGTCCGCGCTGCAAGAAACTCTGCGACGCGGAGCGGCACATCGGGGTCACCCAAGCGCCCAGGAACCTCATACTCACGCTCAAGCAGTTCAAGTACGATCAGAAGTACCACTTCCGCACCAAGCTGATGCATAAGGTGTTCCACGATGAGAGCGTAAGTAACTGCGAGTGCTCTTCTACTTGATCGAATAACAAACCATTTCATTCCGCATCGCAGGTCACTGTAAAGATGTGCGCCACGGACTCGCTGCAAGAAATGTCCACGGTGCACTACGATCTGTATGCCGGAGTTGTGCACGCCGGCTACAGCATGGATTCCGGCCACTACTTTACATTCGCGGCGGATCAAGCGAAGAACTGGTACAAGTTCAATGACAACTTGGTTACCCACTCGCAGCCGGAGGAGATGCACAACCTCACCTCGCCCAACACGCCGTACATCCTGTTCTACAAGATGTGCGGCCGCTCCAACGAGTCTAATGGAGCGTCGGCCAGCTGCAGTTCGAGCATGGGCTCGGGCTCGAGCCACCAAGTGGTCTCGGTGCCACTTTCATTGCCTCTTACGCTGGAGGAATTGCCGCGTCAGCTGCGCGACTACGTAAAGAAGGACAACCATGTTTACAACGAGGAGTTGAAGATGCAGCGCTTTAAGCGCGGCGGCGGTGGGCACAGCGGCATCGGGTTCGTCAGCCGGCATAGCTTCGATGGCGATGGCGACGAGGACGACCAGGCGCCACCGCCCTCAGGAGGATGCGGTGGCAATGGGCTTGGCATGAACATCAACCGCTTTGTCTTTTGAGGAAGTAGGAGCGAGGACGGCGAGCACTCCGGAGGCCACTAGAACATATATTTGTCTACTTTATAAAACACGCGCATACTAATCTAAATGTTACATATATATATAGCCAGTGCATAACCAATCGAGAAATATACGGCTACGTATATCGAGTGTGTGAGAATCGATGGCTGCTGCGCTTTCCGTTCGCTCGTTCGCTAGCTCTTCCCGTTGCTGTCCATGTTTTCTGTCCTATTTCCTCATCCTTATCGATCCTTCCCCCCGAGAAATCATCCTACTCAACCACTCATACACACGCAAACTATCAATGTATTTCCATTTACAAAATTGTTATGATTTTTTGTTTTTGTTAACACAAACCTAGTTGTAGAACGAGCAAATATGCGTACACATACATATATAATTATAACGATTAAAAGCATCTGAATTAGCCAGAGAAGGGAGCGACATACTCGAATCCGAATCAGCCGATCTAAGAAGACCACTTACTTCCAAAGCAGTAAATCAGAAATGTATGCACCTTAGTTTTTAACACTCGAAGTAAAATCATATCTCGAGTTGCAATCGAACTAGCAAGAAGCTACGCATGGTGATCGTCGCGACAATGACTTTTATAAATAGTTGGCGAGAGCGAGATCGAAATCGTATTATTAGTTTCCCTGTTAATTTTTGTGAATTTTAAAAAAATTGCTAATATGCGACACGAATTTGTAATTGATATATATAAATGTATCTCTTTGGATCTGGTGAGCAGAGGTTGCGATGATTTTTGAATGTTATTGCAATTAAATTGGAATAATTTCAAAGAAATTTGTATATGGTGTATGTCTATTGATAACCAAAATCTATACTATGCTATGCTATAAGTGTATCAATAAAGAAAAGAACAAGCCCAAATACTTGAACTCATTCGAAGTAGAATTAGATGTGGTAAACGAATATTACTAAGGACCTTTTTATACCCTTGCAGAGGGTATTATAATTTTGGTCAAAAGTGTGCAACGCAGTGAAGGAGACATCTCCGACCCTATAAAGTATATATATTCTTGATCAGGATCACCTCCTGAGTTGATATAGCCATGTCCGTCTGTCCGTCTGTCCGTCTGTCCGTCTGTCTGTCCGTCTGTCTGTCCGTCTGTCTGTCCGTCTGTCTGTTTCTACGCGAACTAGTCTCTCAGTTTTAAAGATATCGAATTGAAACTTTGCACACACCCTTCTTTCCTTTGCACGCAGTATATAAGTCGGAACGGCCGGGATCGGCCGACTATATCCTATAGCTGCCATATAACTGATTGATCGGAAATGCCATAACTCTGCTGTTTGTTAAGTTAGGAAGTTGGGACTCTCTATGGGTATTATATTTGGCCAATCAATCCGACATACCAAATTTCATAAGGATCGGCCGACTATATCCTATAGCTGCTATATAACTGATTGATCGGAAATGCCATAACTTTGGTGTTTGTAAAGTTGGGAAGTTGGGATTTTCTATGGGTTTTATATTTGGCCAATTAATCCGACCTACCAAATTTCATAAGGATCGGCCGACTATATCTTATAGCTGCCATATAACTGATTGATCGGAAATGCCATAACTTTGGTGTTTGTTAAGTTAGGAAGTTGGGATTTTCTATGGGTTTTATTTTTGCCCAATCAATCCGACATATTAAATTTCATAAGGATCGGCCGACTATATTCTATAGCTGCCATATACATAACTGAATGATTGAAAATGCCATAACTTTGGTGTTTTTAAAGTTAGGAAGTTGGGATTTTTTATGAGTATTAAGAATGCATCATATGAATAATTTTGGAGAATATAATTTACAGAGTATTCTGCAAGGGTATATCAACTTCGGCTCCGCCCGAATTTAGCTTTCCTTTCTTGTTTTAGTTACATTAGAATATGACGGTAATATAAGTTTTAAATCAGTATTCCATTTCCATAAATACAGTTCAATCCAAGTCTTTATAATTTGCAATCAATAACATTGTCGAATAATCCTTAAAAATCCCTGTCTTGGATCTAAAACTGCTCATTTTTAGTCCACGCTTGTATTTTTACTATCTTTTAGAGAAAGAAAAAGAATGGAATACAAGTATCGGTTTTTTAAATTAATTTCGTTTCCCTATTGAGCGGCAAAATTGGAAAAAAAAGATAAACACCGTGTGTATGCTGCGGAATTTTATTTGCGACTGATGCCGCGATCTGTACTTATATGTACTGGCGTGCATTGCCTTATAAGGAAAATATACAGGGTCTTTATTTTCTACAATCCCCTCATTTGCGTGCCACATTTAACATTTCCACATGTCTTAAGCAAGTACACAAATACGGTGCTAAGGTCTCCAAAATCTTCGGCAGATCAACGTTATTGTTGCGCAGGTCACATGCAAAAGTTTGCCACGCTAATGAGTTCTGAAATGCAGAAGATTAAACGTGAATCAGTGCGGCGAAATCAATTATCACAAACACTCTCCATCGAATGGCTGATAAATATATATCGGTTTCGGGACTGGGGAAAATAAATATAAATTGCCTGTTGGCTGGCGATTTGATTTCATAAATACATACATACACTCACTCGCATATCTCTGCGTACACCCCAAAAAAATTTCAAAATCTAACTTTAAACCCTAGCTGTTCGGCCATTTATGCATATATTCAACCCATTTTTTTTTAAACATAATTATAATTTATTGTCTTCATTGACGTATTTTTTTTTTAATTATTCAACTGTGTCTTATATTTTATTTTTAATTTTAAACTTAACTCTACCAAAAAATATACCCGCAAAAGTCTGAGTACACCTGTTTAAAACACAAATAATATTATTTTTAGTAACTGGTAGGGTATCCTTTTCTCTGCAAAACTTCCGTAAGGCGTCTCGGGATGGAATCCACTTTTTTTTTTGTCTCATTTGCAGTAATTTTCCCCTACTCCTCGAGAATCACATTCTTGAGCATTTTTTTGATGTTATCGTGTGTCTTCGGATTTTCCTTTCAAGAAGATCCCAAAAATGCTCATTTGGGCTTAGATCAGGACTTTGGGGAGGTGTTCGCAGCTCGTTGTCTTGTTGGAACCAACATTCACTTTAAAGCCCTAATTTTTCAGCACTTTCTTTTAAATTGTTTTTTAATATGTCAATATAGATTTTCTGATCCATTATTAACTCGATAAATACCAATTTTCCAACGCCACTTGCTGCCATACACAACCACACCATTATTCCGCTTCCTCCTTGCTTTACTGTGCCAACCAAATTTTCTTAATTTGAGGCTTCTCCGCTTTTCCTCTATACCAAAACCTTTCCCTTGATTCCAAATATGCAGAATTTAGTTTCGTCGGGAAATATAATCTTATTCCAGTAGTCTTGGTTTTTGGAAATATACTCATTAGTAAAGGTTAGGCGCTTTTGTCTATTGACTTCCGATATGAGAGGTTTTTTGCGGGCGACTCTGCTATGGTAGTCAGCCTTTTTTATGGTCCGGCGTACAGTATCTTCGGAAACTCTTTTGGAAAATCTATCCTCGACCTTCAGCTTTGCCTGGTGAGCTGTCGTCCTTGGGTTGAGCTGAATAGATTTGATAATATTCCTCTGCTCGCGGTTTATAAGCAAAGGCGGACGGCCAGAACGAGCCTTTGGCAAGATACTTCCAGCCGAGTTGTAGTTATTTATCACTCTTTGGATGGATGAGTGGGTTCTACCAACTAAAGCACCAATTTCTCTATAAGATTTTCCATCCAAAAAACCTTTTAATATAGTTTTCCACTCCTCAACAGAAATTTCCTTACCTTTTTGTTCCATGTTGCAATATGCTCGTTATTATAATGAAAGAGTTTCATTTTAACTGCGTAATGTCTATTTTTAGACATTCTAAAGTAGATCGGCGACAACAAAATTAACGGAAATCGCACAATCCTGCATTCCTCGAAGTTGAAAACTGCTGTACGCAGACTTTTGCGCGTACACTTTTTCGTAGTGTTAGGTTTAAAATTAAAAATAAAATATAACCCCCTGTTGAATATTTATAATATTTCTACGTCAATGAAGACAATAAACCATAGTTTTGTTTAAAAAAAGAATGAATAAAATACATGCATAAATGGCCGAACAATTAATGTTCAAAGTTAGATTTTAAAATTTTTTTGGGGTGTACGCAGAGATATGCGAGTGAGTGTATGTGCCTCACGTAGCCCAGCTCAATTGCCAATTAGAAGCGAGGCGAAAGGAAAAAGCACTGGCAAAGGCGGCAGGAAAAAACATAAAAAGAAAAGGCGGTGGCACTTGAAAATTCTGAGACATCAACGGAAGTTGATTTGTATACGGAATCGCATATAAAAGTTGCCCACTTTTAACCTGCACCTTTTTGGCCAAAATTCAATAAAGCAATTGGAAATTTTTCTCACGTCTCTCTAGGAAATTATTATGGAGCTGGCTGTAGAGGACGGCCGTTTCAAATGGAATTCTTTAAACAATTTTCCCCAAGCCCACACATATACTGCTCGAGCAAACAAAGCGTGTCCCCAACTGAAATACAATTACCACATGGGGTCTTCAGGTTTTCCCACTCACCAATAGATCGTTAATTTGCTTAGAAAACTTTGGACCATCGTTTTCAAAGTTTGACAAGAAGTTGGAAAATTGGGCAATCAGTTGGTCTTTGGGCGGGATCTCCAGAACCTTCTTCACCATTCCATGCAGGCCTTCGAAAGTTGTTAGGTTTTCTAAAAATGTATTTACTTTTTAGTTTCTTGTACAAAATGTTTAGTGTGATTATATGGCAATAGCACTTCAATTGTTAGGAATGGATATTCAACACATATTAACTTATTATTATTTTATTACGTCAGTAAAGAAAATAATATTAATATGATTAGAGGAGGTTAACAAATTAAAAACCAAATGATTGCATGTTTGTATCAATATATGTATAGATAGGCATAAAAACTTAATTTCCTCTTAAGTATTTCATAAATTAATTTATAAAATTGAAATTTAAGAAATACTTACATAAATTAATTTATAAAATTGAAATTTAAGAAATACTTATAATGCAATTGAACTATTTTCCTCATAAAAGGCAACATACGCACCTTTCGCTTCAAAAGAGCTCACAGGGAAAACTGTGAACACCTCCGCCACCGTACGCACCACCTTGGCCACATCAAATCCTTGATCGCTCAAATAGTTGGCGATCTCAAGGATTTCCGGCTGCTGAATCAACTTCTGCTTAATGGTCGTGAAATTGCTGCTTCTGAGAAACGAGTAGCCTTTTTTAAACTCCTCATCATTGAAGTAGTACTGCCCAGCTATGGTCTGGACTCTTCGCTCTGGAAACAGAGCCACAAAGCCGCTCAAATCGATGGAATTTTTGGAAGGCATTCCTTTCGCTGGTGGTTCCATCGAGAGTGACGGATCCAAACCAACACCAACAATCATTTTTCTGCGTTTGTCCTGTGGAAAGCCCATCGAATGGGAAATTCCAGCGGCACAGACGACCAAAAGTAACAGGTAACCGCGATTCATACTGGCGATGTGATCTCCTGCACAGAATCTCAACTTCTGACCGACTCTTCTCATGGTTTTTATGACTTTGGAGACCATTCTAGACTACGACAATCGTTTTAATTTAATTAATTAATTTAATCAGCAGAATTCAACAAAAACACCCACTTGTGGGGGGAATTCATGACAGAGGTCACTAGAGGTCACTTTCAAAAATAACTGAAGGTTTGTAGGAATAGTTGCGGAATTTAAAACCAAATTCAAAGGGATTTTATAAATGGGGAACTGGCTTTCAATTTTGCTTTAACATTTATTCAATTAACAAATAAAATTATAAAACAAGAGAGAACGCTATAGTCGAGTGCCTCGACTATTAGATACCCGTTACTCAGCTAAACAACTTAATATAAATATCTTCCGTCTCTCTCTAGCGCAGGTGAATGCACTTGTGAGAAACGAATAGGAGCAAAAAGAGCAAAATGCGCGCCCCATTTCAAATGATTTAGATTTTGCATTAACATAATGTGAATTAGAGTGACCACAGGAAAAAAGGACAAAAAGCAGAGGTCGCAAATATCGAAGACTTAAGCCATTTGCCTAAAATCATTTTTTTGGTATATTTAAGCGGTTGAGCTACGGGCACACTAAAACACTTTCCTCAAAAAGCGCCAAAATTTTACGTTTATTAGAATTAAGACCTATTTTTATTAATTTAAACCGAGATTTATTAACAAGGCCTCTAGGGAAGGCAACCCCACTGCATCGGCAACTCATCGTCCTTGAGAATTCCGCATCATGTCCTTCTTCGGAGCCAACACATCGCTGGGAGCAACAAGCACGCCGACCAAAAGTGAGTTTCCGTAAACAAGACCTCATGCCCTCTTCTCCAGGTATTTGTGAGGTCCATTCCCGCTTGGTGGTGGCTGCAGCAGCTTCTTTGCGTCCTGCAGGCTTTGTATGCGGATGTCCTTCGGGTCGATGCTGGAGACGGGAAATTTAAGTTTTACAAAATCATAAGCCAATGGACAAAGGCCCTTACCCCTTTTTGTGAACCACATAAGCCACATATCCCACGAAACTCAGCACGAGGATCAGTAAAATAATGACCACAGCCATTTCTCACGACCAGTAGGCGTTCAGTTCTCGAGTCAAACTAAAACTAGCTTAGAGTTTCCGAACCCAAAATTATAGCAGATAAGATTTCAAGTCGGAAGCCTAGTTTCCCAATCGCTGACCCATTTTTCCGTCTTCTTATCTCCCCGCTCAGCAACTGGTGGCCTCTTCGGATCACCGTTTGGAGCACCAGCAACCAGTCAGCCGGCACCCGCATTCGGAACTCAGGCCTCAGCGACGACGGCCTTTGGTTCCCAACCGGCTACCTCTGCCTTTGGAGCTGGTTCCGCCTTTGGAGCGCCAGCTGCTGCTCCGGCCTTTGGTGCCCAAGCTGCTGCCCCGGCTTTTGGCGCCCAGGCCGGTGCTCCGGCTTTTGGAGCCGCCACATCAACAGCTGGCTTTGGTGGCTCCGCCTTTGGAAGTGCCCCGGCGTTTGGTGCAGCAACGACAACAGCGGGCACCGGACTTGGTGGAGGCGGTTTCACCGGATTTGGGGCAGCTCCAGCAACAAGTCAGGCGAGTTTGTTCGGTGCTCCAGCGACCAGTGCAGCGCCGCCGGCTTTTAGTGGATTCGGCCAGCCGGCAGCGGCGAATACAGCGCCAGCAAGTGGATTTGCAGGCTTTGGGACAACAACCACATCGGCACCTGCTTTCGGCGGCTTCGGAACCAGCCAGTCCACTGGCTTTGGAGGCGGAGCCTTTGGATCCAGTGAGTTTCAGTTTGCCCAATTAGCTCTTGTTTGGTATTCCTAACCTGGTTCATGTTTCAGCCTTTGGAAAGCCTGCGAATTCAACAGTAACGCCGGGATTTGGTGGTTTCGGTGGCACCAACTTCATGCTTGGACAGCCGCAACAGCAACCGGCGGCCATTTCGGCTGATGAGGCCTTTGCCCAGTCCATTCTAAATGTGTCCATTTTCGGCGATGACCGGGATAAGATAGTGGCGAAATGGAACTACTTGCAGGCCACTTGGGGCACGGGAAAGATGTTTTACTCGCAGAGTGCGGCGCCGGTGGACATTACGCCGGAAAACCTAATGTGCCGCTTTAAGGCCATTGGCTATAGTCGCATGCCGGGCAAGGATAACAAACTGGGGCTGGTGGCCTTAAACTTCTGCAGAGAACTCTCTGCCGTTAAGTAAGTAATCTCAATCTAGCTTTCCACAACATATAACTTATACCCCTTAAATTTAGGCCACACCAGCAGCAAGTGGTGCAAACTCTGCATAGCCTATTCGGCAGCAAACCAAACATGTTGGTTCACATTGATTCCATTAAGGAGCTGGAGAACAAGAAGTGCCAGATGGTTATCTACGTGGAGGAGAAGCTGCAGCATGCACCCAACGAAAGCAAGCGTGTATTGGCCACCGAACTATCGAATTACCTGAATCAGGCATCGCTGAAACCCCAACTGAGCAATCTTGGCATTGTGGAGGCCTTGGCTCATGTATTGCCCGACGAGGATCAGTTGAAGGAGTACCTCGAAAATCCCCCCAGAGGCGTAGATCCGCGCATGTGGCGCCAAGCGAATTCGGACAATCCGGATGCCAGCAAATTAATACCAGTGCCCATGGTCGGATTCAACGACCTGAAGTGGCGCGTCAAGTGCCAGGAACAGGAAACGGACACTCATGCGTTGTACATGAAGAAAGTGGAGGGCGAACTAACGGAACTAAGACAGCGGCACGCAACGGCCACAGCCAAGATTATAGAACATAAACGGAAATTAGCCGAGCTAGGACATCGCATACTCAGGGTAGGATAAAGATATCTGCATAGTTCATCCTTTTGTTAACCATCAATTATGTCATCTACAGATAATTGTGAAGCAAGAGTGTACTCGCAAGGTGGGCACCTCCCTGACGCCCGAGGAAGAGGCAATGCGCACCAAGCTCCAGAACATGCAGGCAGTCGTGTCCGCTCCCACCCAATTTAAGGGCCGTCTCAGCGAGCTGCTCTCTCAGATGCGCATGCAGCGCAATCAGTTTGCCGGAAACGGAGGAGCCGAGTATTCCATCGACAAGGAGGCCGAGGACGAGATGAAGACCTTCCTGACCATGCAGCAGCGCGCCATGGAAGTACTCAGTGAAACCGTCAACAAGGACATGAAGGCACTGGACGTTATCCTTAAGGGACTGCCCGAGCTGCGGCAATCGTGATAGTAGGAGGGTGGCTGATATGTTTAATAAATCCCACACATGTTGAATACACCCTGAAGATTTTCCATGATCGATTTTCGAGTCAACGAACAAGTTATGGCCGTTACACTTTTGCCATTATGTCGTCGTTTATTGTTTCCTGCAGCTTTGAACTTGCACTTTTACGGCAATGAGAGTCGAAACAATCGAAACGGGTTCACACATTCGTCCCCATTGCTGCGGAAATAATTGTGTGGGTCATTGCACTTGCACTCCACAGCTCACGAAGCGCCCGACTTTTCCCTGGCCACTGCCTGAAATTGGACAATTTCGATAGCGAGGCTCGGACTCATTATGAGTGACAAACGGTTCGTCTCTGGCGGTTCCAGTTTGTTCAACTCCAGCATTGGCATCGGCATCGCTGTTACATTAACATTATTATGCGCTCTGGCGTGCAGGCATACATGTGCAGATCTAGTTTGTCTCGTTACATATTTATTTCTCGTGTGGGAAACTAGTTTTCTCCCAGCCAACCAGGCTCCCGGGGCTGGTTTGTTGTTGGCCATTTATGGCGGAGACTTCCGAGCTTCCGTTTGGAGCACGGAGCGCCAGTATAAATGAATTGGCCAGCTCCAAGGAGGCCTCACTTCGTGTGATATCTTTGAAAGTGAAGGTGGTTAAACTGGAGCACTGCCTATGAGTAGACGAAAGTGACTCGATCAGAGCTATTGGAATTTAAATGGAAATGAATGGTTTTCTAGTTGTGAGTCTAGGGGATCACGGATCATGATAAAAATCGGACTAAGTTCCCCCCTTCTTGCAGCTCCTGTTGTGCGCCTTTTGCTGCAGTGTGGCCGCCAAGCCTCCGGCGGCTCGGCGAGCACAGCTGCATGACGATGTTCAGCTCATCCATCCACACATCATCACGATAGAGCGTTTGGAGAACCTGCTCCGGCGTGCTGGCGAAATCTTCGGACCCGCCCTAGAGGAAGATTCCATGGCGGAGGCCAGTAGCCAGGTGCAGGAGCAGGTGCAGCCACAGCAGCGCTTGCTGCCGCCCACGGAGCAGCCCTATAACTTCTATCTGCCACTCTTCGACTACGTGGAACCCAAGCTGGACGCCAAGAGCCGGATGATGGAGAAGATCGCTCCACCGCCTCAGAAGTCCGAGCATAACTACTATGCGGACAAGCCAAAGAAGAAGCCAAAGAAGTTCAACGCGGCCAACAAGCACATCAACCTCAACCTCAAGTGGCTAAACACCTACGAGAAGGCCATGGGCGGAGCAACTGCCCCCAAAGCCATGTATCTGGAGCAGGACGAGCGCAATCGGATCAACTTCGATGATTCCTTCTTTGCGGTGGACATGCAGGTGAAGATGCCGGACAACCAGCCGCACAAAGAGTTGGTCTCACCTACAAAGCTCCTGCAGCACGGCGAGGAGCAGGCTGAGGAGGATCTAATGGCAGCTCCTGCGCAGTTAGACTTCGACTTCAAATCGCCCGTCCAGGTAAAGCATCGCACATAGATGGGATTTTTTGTTTATAGGTTTTAGTCAGTTGTATAAAAATGCTACAATAAATGCACTCCCTGCGATTAAAGGCTAGGATGAAGCGCCGTCTACTGGGTCTCTTTCTTCTTGCGCAGCTCCTTGCAGAAGGTCTCGGCGGCAGCTGCCTCCCGAGACACGGGAAGGTTCTTTAGGGCCTCCTCCTCCTCTAGTTTTTTAACGCCTTCGCGCACCACGCGCTCAATATCGTCTAGCAGTCCGGAGGCACCGAAACGGAACCTCTCGGGACGGAGCCAGCGAATACCGAGGGTCTCGTTGACCATCGTCATCCATGCGATGGCATCCCGCACTGTCTTCACTCCGCCGGCTGGCTTTAAACCAACAATCTGGCAGGTGCGCCGCTTGAACTCCTGGATGGCGAATATCATGACTAGGCCCACGGGCAGGGTGGCATTCACGGTCTCCTTTCCCGTGGAGGTCTTAATGAAGTCGGCTCCGGCCAGCATGCAAACCATCGCTGCTTTGTAGACCTAATGGTGGGTGTCATAATATATTACTTGGTGTAGTTAAGAGAATATTAAGAGAATTGCTTCATACATTCTCCATGGTGCCAAGCTCCCCGATGGCCAGGATAGTCTTCAAATGAGCTCTCTGTCCGCAGGCACTGCGCATAAGGACCACCTCGTTGTACAGGGCCTCCCAATCGCCCACCAGGGCCAACTGTCGGTTGATCACAATGTCGATCTCTGTGGCGCCGGCCAGAATGGCATGGCTTATCTCCTGCAGGCGAGTCTGTAGACCGTACTGGCCTGTGGGAAAGCCGGTAGCCACCGCGGCAATGGCCACCTTGTCGAGTTTGTCGTATTGCTGGAGCGTATGGTAGGCATCCTTTACCCTGGCAGGATAAACACAAACTGCGGCCGTGTGCATCTCCGGGATGAGGGCACGATCGAAGAACTTGTCGAAGAACTGCGGCTCGAAGGGATAGCAGGCGCGGAGGCACAGCCTCCGGACATTGGCCGCCGTATCATCACCTGCTAGGGTGGTCAGATCCGTGAGCATCAAAGCTCGCAGTGCCCAGGCGATCTCGTTGGCCCCGGTAACATGGCAGCGCTGGGACACCGTCATGGCGATCTCCTCAATCTGGCGCAGCGAGATGTTGACCGACAGCAGCGAGGGATCTTTAAATTTACATATATTACATTTATGAACTTTGGAATTCTCAATATCTCACCAAAGGGCAGGGTTTTGTTTACTTCCAGTTCCTTGACATCCATTGCTGATTACTATTAAGCCTGTAAATTTGGTTGATTACTGCCCACTTGCAGATAAAATCGATCACTCGTTCTTGACCCCTAATCTTCTCCCAAACCTCAACCGAGAAACATGAGAAAAATCTTATCAATTTGTTTGCTGAACAGCTGATTGCAGCGTTGCCAGACCGCGTGGATTAACTGATAATTTTACAGCTCGAGACCGTTACAAGATCACCGATCACAAATAAATGATGTTGAAATACAAACGAAGAGTTAAAAAATACAAATAACACTTGGGTAACTTTGTTTATTGCTTTTTAATACTTGCGAAAGGCACCTATTGTAAATATTGCATTTTTGATGGGGATTTAGTAAGTACAAGAATTTGTTGTTTTTAAAAATTTCACGACACCGAGGTAGAAAACAAATAATTTAATTGCGCTAATTGAACTACTGCTTTGTGATATGGAGTTTTAGCGATGCTTGGCCCACTGCTCCCAGTACTCCCGCTTTTGCATTTCGTAGAGCCGTGAAATCGTGCGATCGAAAGCGAACAGTTCCTCTTCACCGGTGAAAAAACTGGATTTCGATTCGTTCTGCAATGTATAATAGGTTATTATAAGATAATAAATCGAATCAATTTGTGGTGCTCACCATTTTTAAGTCATCCATTAAAGTCCGTTCGGAATCGGAAAGACTTTTAGAACCTCCTGTAAAACTAAACAGATTTTCAAGCGGGACATCGGCCGATATAACCACGCGCACTCGATTATTGTACAGGGTATCTATTAGCGTTATAAAGCGTCGCATTTGCGCCTTGACATCCAGGGTCAGTTGGGGCACATCTCGTATGAGGACGGTATGAAAGAACTGGGATACCTGCAGGAAATCGCTGCCAGCTAGAGGCTAATGGTTGGGTGTGTCATTAGTTTTCGTCAAATATCACATTTCTTATTTGCTTACTCGATCACAGAGTTCTCCAAAGGTGCTGTCCAGCACCTGACCACAGGTGCGATTGAAAGTTAGATCCCTTCCGAAGTGAGTCAAGGTCCGCGGTCGGATAATATCGTTCTCCTCGGCGCACAGGATCTTGAACATGCGATTCATGCTACCGTCTGCATCCGCTTGGCCTTTGACGAAGTAGTTGGTGTCCCCGGACTGGGCTATCCGCCGGTAGTCAATTGAATCCAGTTGGGACACTTTGCAGCGCCGCTGGAGCAGCCCGATGAAGGGCAGGAAGTTCGTGCGCTGCAGACCGTTCTTGTACAGATCCTCGGGATGACGATTGCTGGTGGCCACAACCACAATTCCGTGTCGAAAGAGGTGGGTAAACAGGCGCTTCAGCACCATGGCGTCGGCAATGTCCGTCACCTGAAACTCGTCGAAGCAAATCAGCCAAGATTCGCGGGCAATCAGGTCAGCCACCGGTTTTGTCGGATCAAAGGGCGCGGGCTTCTCCGAGTTGAAAGCCCGGTCCACTGGTCCCTGTTCCTGCTTGGCCTCGTGGATGCGTGTGTGCACCGTGTTCATGAAGGAGGTGAAGTGGACACGCTGCTTCCTATCGATCTGAAAGCGAAACAGTTGGTATTCTGCTCTTGAGGACCTAGTTCAGGTTATCACCTTAGTGCAGCAGTCGAAGAAGAGGTCCATCAGCGTGGTCTTGCCAACGCCCACGCTGCCGTAGAGGTATAGTCCCTGGGGTGCGTGGCTACCAGCGTTGGGGTCATCCTGATCATCCTCGGACGAGGATTTCCGTCCGAAAAGGGAACTGAAGAAGCCACCGCCACCGCCGCTCGTTTTGTAGCTTGGTCTATAGCCCTGAATCTTGTGGTACAGTGCGTCCAGCTCCTTCATCGTCTGGAACTGCCTGTCATCGGTCTTCAGTTGGCCGGCTTTCACCCGCTCCTCATATTCCTTCAGCGGACTGAGGGAACTCTTGTGGCAGACGGGCGCCCACAATAACAGCGGCTTATGGCGCGCGAAGCGGACCACGACCCCGAGGTGGTAGTTAAGCATTGCGGAGCAGGTCAATTAGCGCACAGATCGGAAATTTCTCCTCGTCAACTAAACATTACATAAAACTAGAGACTTCCGCGTTTCTGACCGCGAATTTTGGCTGTTGGCCGTGAAATTTTTAGAACCAGGGCTGCCCGCATTATCAGCTGAGCTGACAGCTGTACGCCGAGCTGCCGGACCGTTCGGAGTGCTGCCAGATCATTTCAATGTAACCGCTGCTTAAAATTCAAATAACAATGTGCAACGCCAAAAATGTACACTTTTAAATTAAACTTTTATAATCTATTTCGTTGTCCAAAATCCGAATGTGACCGTAAAAATGTTTCTGTACTCACCGTTTTTAGAAAATTAAACTCAAAAATATAAAAATTACATGTTGAAATAAATAATTTTAACGTTTTTTAAAAAATCAACACTTAAAAACATTTTATTAAAAGAGGCATAAGAAAGTTTTTTTAAAACATTGGCGGTCCTAGAGAATTGACAATAATGCGACTAAAAGGTTAAGTATTTAACAAGGGACCTGACATTTTGGTTAATACAAAGACATATAAAATATATAGACATTAAAGATGTTTGTGGTTATTAAGTAAAGACCGCTAGGTGACAATAACAAGACTTAATCTAAGTAAACCTCGACAAGGAATGCGAGGTAGCGAAAGGATTAATAAGCCCATAAAACTTGTTATGACAGCGTTCAAATCTCATGATTAATAAAAATGGGTAATGATCGCATTACTGTGTCACTTCCTGAACAATAGTGCAATTTGCGTGATTTGAATCAGAGATAGTCAGGTGTTTTACTTGATCAGGTTTTTCCTATTTATAACGGTACTTAGGGTATGTTTGTCTGGGATTTTCTTTTGCTTCGATTTAGCATTGAATGAGAAAGATTAGATACAGATAACAACCTTTCTGAAAACCACTTAAATATGAACTCTACTATTAAGTATACATAAATTCCCTGCAAATGTAATTGAGTGGACTTAGTTTGTGGTATTAGCAAGATTTACAGCAAAAAGGTGGAGTATTAGCGAGAATTTTTGTTCAAGAAGTAGTATTAACTCACTGTATTTTTTCGTAGACGTTTAAAACAACGTAACGGATTAACGTACCTAGATTAAAGACTCAAGTCTTGAGACTTTGGAGCAGGGTATTAAATAGTCATGGCCCAGGTCGAAATCTATTGCTGCACTATCTTCTGCAGGCATAGATAAGATGGTACAGGTGTTAGCCACTTGCAGTGGATCCACTCAAGGTGTCTATCGGGACTGGATTTCCAGAGCTCTGGATCCCTTATAAATGGAGCTGCATTCACCCGCGTTCACCATAGTCCACTAATTTTTGGACGGCGAGCAAGTTCTTCGAGGAAACCACAATATGGCTATGATACCTACCACCTACAGTGAAAAGGATAATGTCTGGAGCGGAGCCAAGCGCAACTCCATGTACAACTATGATTCCTCCGTGGGCAAAATCATTTTCAACAACATGAGGAACTGGCCCAAAAACGTTTGTCAGGTGAGTAGGACTCTCCACAGAAATCCGATATCTCAAGCTAAACAATCCTCTTTAGATTTGTGATATTGATGGAGTAACAGTCACCTTCGAGCAGGGATTAACGTGGGCTATTCGGATTGCCCAGTACCTTAAAAAGAGAGGTCTTAACCACAAGGATGTTATTGGCATTGCGGCCAAGAACTCAACATATGTAATGCCCCTTGGAGTGGCCTGCCTGATGAACGCCACTCCTTTCCACTCGGTTAATCCTATGCTAGATGATGGTTGGTATATAGTCTTGGGAAAATCTAAGCATTTATAAACATATCTCTCTCATTTCAATCAGGATCTTTAACCCATGTCTTCTCGATCACCAAGCCAACTCTGGTTTTCGTCGATGGACACGAATACGATAAGATTCATAAGGCAACTATTGGATGGCATCCGGAAATCTTTACCCTATCCGATCATGTTGAAGGAGTCCAGAGCATTGAGACCCTGCTGGATCCAACAACCACTGAAAGGATGTACCAGTAAGTAAGACTTGTTAGTCCTAGATTTGTTTACTAACTATGGGTACTTTTAGACCAGAAGTTCTAAAGGAAGGTGGCGATCAAACCGTAGCCATCCTGTGCTCCTCTGGAACTACTGGACTGCCTAAGGCCGTCTGCATTTCCAACAGCATCCTGATACAGGACAGCATGTGAGTCTATTTTCTTTAACCCCGAGTGCAATCGTTAATATGTAATTAAATCCTATATCAGGCTAATCACGAGCCAATCCGTGGTTTATGTTGGAAGCTGCCTGGACTGGATCACCGGTTTGTGGGCCTTTGTCTTCAGCACTGTTTTTGGATGCACAAGGATCATTAGCAACAAAGCCTTTACCCCCGAGTATTTCGTAGGTCTGGTGAAGAAGTACAAGATCAACTATGCCGTGCTCCCACCTCGTCATCTATCCGCGCTAATCGCTTGCCCAGATGCCAAGCCGGAAGCCCTGGCATCAATTTCGAACCTTAACTACGGCGGTGGATCGCTTTCCCTAGCCACTCTGCAGCGATCGCAGGAAATCTGCAAGGCTGCCATGTTTAACTCGGGATACGGAATGACAGAGGTGGGCGCCATCACGATCAATATTGGAATCAGCAACGTCTCCTCGGCGGGCAGACCAGTGCCGGGACTAAAGATTCGGATCGTGGACGAGGATGGCAAGAACCTGGGATACAACGATGTGGGCGAGATCTATGTGCACACGGGTCAGGCCTGGAATGGGTACTACGGCAATCCCGTGGAGTCTCGGCGCATGCAGGACTTCGAAGGATGGTTTCACACCGGCGATCTAGGCTACTTCGATGAGCAGAACTTCCTCTACATAGTGGACCGCAAGAAGGAGATCCTCAAGTACCAGGGCCTCCACTACTGGCCCACCGAGATCGAGGGTGTCATCTCGGAGCTGCCCCAGGTGCAGGACGTCTGTGTTGTGGGCATCTACGACGAGCGGGAGGGCGATGCGGCCGGGGCTCTGGTGGTCAAGAGCAAGGGAGCCACCATTTCTGGCAAGGAGATAGCTGACCACGTGGCCAAGCGACTTCCCGCCTTGCAGAAGCAGCTGAGAGCCGGAGTCCAGTTCACCAACAAACTGCCCGCCAATGTCAATGGCAAGACGATGCGCAAGACGGCACGCGACGTATTCATCGCCCAGAGCGGAACGGGAAAGTGAGGTCTCAACGATCCACCCAATAGTGTATAGTTTTAATCACAAGTGCTGGGAGATACTTCAGAATTATGGCTGAAGTGCTCTGGTTGAAGGGGGCTTTCGACTGTGAGGTGACCTTTGGATCCCAATAAATTGAGTTGTACCTACAAAGACAACTAATCCCTTTTAATTTCTTTCTGGTTGGAATCCAAACAAAAAGGTTTAGACTTTGATCTGGTCTAGTCACGAGACTTGCAATAATAAAGTGTATTTTTTGCTTAAGGGCTTTATCAAAATGGTTAAAACGATTAGAAAAGATCAATCATATTACTGCTGGTTATGAATGAGTATCTTACCATGATGTCTCGCAAGATTCCTATATGGCAAATCTCTTAAAAAAATCTATATAATCTTAAATTTTGCGCGTTTGATAAACTATTAGTCATTACCCAGATGGTACAATTTCAAACTTTTTATGATTACGTTTAGTTTGTTTTAATGTTCTTTTAGCACGATTGATAAGATAAAAATAAGTGCTGCATAAGAATTATTTTGCTGATTGTTAATATCAACAAACCAGAACTTGAAATATTGAACTATTTAATTGGTGTTTTGATAATAATAAGGAAAGCAGAGATTTTTAATTTTGGCGTAAGCCCTTCTTATCACTATTCCTTAGTTTTCCGTATTGAATCCGTCTAGGGAGGCAGTCTACAATTTAATCAGATAAGATAAGACGCGTTGAGCAGTTGGTGCAGGTCATCTACTACTTGCAGTTTTTTAAAGCTTTGGCCCACTATAAATACAGTCTTAGCTGGACAAGAGCGTTAGTAGTACTTTTGATTTTGATTGCGAAGGACCATCTACAGAATGGAGTTACCAACAACTTACGACGCTAAGGTTCGGGTATGGAGTGGAGCCGAACGGATTCTCACATACACCGATGAGACGTCTCTTGGCAAGATAATTTGCAATGTCATGAGGACTTGGCCGAAGAACGTGTGCCAGGTAAGTGCAATCGCGTGATAATAATGAGTTATTCCCAAAGATGGCACTCTATATCAGATAGATGATTCGGACGGCACGGAAGTCACCTTTGAACAAGCCATATCCTGGGCCATTCGGATGGCCCAGATCTTTAAGAAAAACGGGCTGAGCCATTTGGACGTAATTGGCATTGCGGCCAGGAACTCCACATATGTGATGCCTGTGGGTGTGGCCTGCCTGCTGAATACAACCCCCTTTCACGCGGTGAATCCGGTGGCGGACGAAGGTAAGTCATTTAAAGTTTTCAACCGATATTAACTAATATTTTAAATAATATACTTCAGCTACCTTATCACACGTTTTCTCAATAACCAAACCTACTATAATTTTCTGCGATGGAAAGGAGTACGAAAAGGTCCGGGCCGCCACTAAAGAATGGCAGCCGGAGATCTTTACAGTAACCGATCCTGTTGAAGGAGTGCCCCATGTTGACACGCTTTTGCAACCCACCAAAACGGAAATGTTTTTCCAGTAAGTGCTTGAAATTAAAAGTTCCATAAACAGGGAAATCATAAAATTGTTATTTCAGACCAGAACCATTGAAGGAAGGAGGCGAACAGACTGCGGTCATTCTGTGCTCCTCGGGAACCACTGGCTTGCCTAAGGCTGTTTGCATTTCGAATCAGTCGCTTTTCCTCGATTTCTTGTGAGTCTTTGTGATACAGCTTCCTAAGAAAATAATCTATTATTTACTTTCCTGGCAGTATGATGAACAGCGAATTGGTCGTTTATTCAGCTAGTGGTATGGATTGGTATAGCGGTCTGTCTTCATTTCTTTTAAGCACTGTGGTCGGTTCCACCCGGATTATAACCAACAAACCCTTTGCTCCGGACTACTTTGTAAAGCTCGTTGAGAAGTACAAAATCAACTCTGTCATATTGCCTCCTCGCCATATGTCTGCCCTGATAAATTTCCCAGGAGCCACAAAGGAGGCCTTGACCTCCATTCGGATGGTTTCCTACGGAGGTGGATTCACGTCCATGACCACACTGAAGAAAATGCAGGAGCTGTGTCCGACTGCGATCCTAACCTCGGGTTATGGATTGACTGAGGTGGGTGCAGTGTCCATCAATATGGGACTTAGAAATGGCAACACTGCAGGCAAACCAATGACAGGAGTAAAAATACGCATCGTGGACGAGGAGGGCAACAACCAGGGTTACAACGAGGTGGGAGAGATCTATGTCCACACAGGTCTGCCCTGGAAGGGCTACTATGGAAATCCCGTGGAGTCACAACGCACGCGGGATCACGAAGGATGGGTTCACACCGGCGATCTGGGCTACTTTGATGAACAGAACTTGCTCTATGTGGTGGATCGCAAAAAGGAGATCCTCAAGTACCAGGGCAATCACTACTGGCCCTCTGAGATTGAAGGCGTTATCGCAGAGCTGTCACAGGTCGAGGAAGTGTGTGTCATAGGCATCTACGATGAGCAACAAGGAGATGCAGCTGGTGCACTTGTGGTCAAGAGTAAGGGATCCTCCATAACCGAAAAGGAAATTTCAGATCATGTGGCGAAGAGACTACCCTCGGTTCAAAAACAACTTCACGCGGGCGTGCAGTTTACGGACAAGCTGCCCACCAACCCAAATGGAAAGACGTTACGCCGTATCGCGCGAGTGGAATTCGTTGCTAAAAAAGAGGCTGGAAAATAAGATTTCATAAAAATTTTTATGTTACATTATTTTAAATTAAATCTATTGTCTCACTGTACAAAGAAAAAATTATTTTTAATATTAATGGCTAATCCCATTATATATTTTTGTTAGATATGCTGTAGAATATACTTGTTACTTTAAAATTGGTTTTGCAAATATTATTTATATTATAAGTTTACCAGGTTAGTTTAGCATCGAATTAGAAGCAAGAATGCGAAGCAAGGTTTAAATTACCTTCTGAATATCAGCACTGTATGTCAAGATAAAATTTCAGAAAGCATATTGTAAATAATCTTTGTACTGAAAACATACCTTGAATTTTGTTACAAATAAAGATAAGGATATCTGCTTAATTGTTTGCTTTGATTTGGTCTAGCGCTGGACTTGATAAAGTACAAAAAACTGCTGGGTTTCCTACGCAGCGCAAGTTTGTTTCAAAATGGTGCCACGCCCCCTCTGACGCCCACAAGCCACAAGCTGTGGCCACAGTTTTGATGCTATTATGAAAATTTTAATTGATATGTATTTGTTTCGTCAATACCTATCGATTGGCTGAATAAAAATTTGCCACGCCCACTCTAACCTAGCGCCTACATTTCCGCCTTTCATGGCGCCATCTAACGGTTGACTTTGGAACAGCTGGCCAAGGTGCTCAACAGAGTCAACGTTAATTCTCGATTAAGATTTCTATTAAAGGAAATTGCGATGGTTTTCATTTGTCAATACCAAACTATATCCCAAGAACTATGCAAATCAAATCAAGTTAGTCAAGTTGGAGGTCTGAGTCAAACAATGGCGTATGTGTGTATGTATGTAAGCATATACATATATGTATGTATTTACATTGTACACAGTTGCAATTGTTTAGCTGAGTAACGGGTATCTAATAGTCGAGGCACTCGACTATAGCGTTCTTTCTTGTTATACCCTTGCAGAGGGTATTATAATTTTGGTCAAAAGTGTGCAACGCAGTGAAGGAGACATCTCCGACCATATAAAGTATATATATTCTTGATCAGGATCACCTCCTGAGTTGATATAGCCATGTCCGTCTGTCCGTCTGTCCGTCTGTCCGTCTGTCTGTCCGTCTGTCCGTCTGTCTGTTTCTACGCAAACTAGTCTCTCAGTTTTAAAGCTATCGAATTGAAACTTTGCACACACCCTTCTTTCCTTTGCACGCAGTATATAAGTCGGAACGGCCGGGATCGGCCGACTATATCCTATAGCTGCCATATAACTGAACGATCGGAAATGCCATAACTTTGGTGTTTTTAAAGTTAGGAAGTTGGGATTTTCTATGGGTTTTACATTTGGCCAATCAATTTGACGTACCAAATTTTTTAAGGATCGGCCGACTATATAGTATAGCTGCCATATAACTGAACGATCGGAAATGCCACAACTTTGGTGTTTGTAAAGTTAGGAAGTTGGGATTTTCTATGTGTTTTGTATTTGGCCAATCAATTTGACGTACCAAATTTTATAAGGATCGGCCGACTATATCCTATAGCTGCCATATAACTGATTGATCGGAAATGCCATAACTTTGGTGTTTGTAAAGTTAGGAAGTTGGGATTTTCTATGGGTTTTATTTTTGGCCAATCAATCCGACCTACCAAACTTCATAAGGATCGACCGACTATATCCTATAGCTGCCATATAACTGATTGATCGGAAATGCCATAACTTTGGTGTTTTTAAAGTTACGAAGTTGGGATTTTTTATGAGTATTAAGAATGCATCATATGAATAATTTTGGAAAATATAATTTACAGAGTATTCTGCAAGGGTATATCAACTTCGGCTCCGCCCGAAGTTAGCTTTCCTTTCTTGTTTTTACTCAAAATAGTCAAAACGATTAGAAGATCAATTGCCTTGAAAGTTCAAATTACTGTTAGTTAATTTATAGTTTTGCCTCGAAAGATTTCTAGATGGCAAGCACTCCATATAAACTAAAATTTTGTTCGTATGATAAAGAGCTAATCATTACCCAGATCTAATAAAACTTTTATCTAGATATTTAATCTTAATCTCTTTAAGCACTCCATATAATCTCAAATTCAGTGCGTGTGATAAGACGCTAGTCATTACCCATATCTAACGATTTCACACTTTTATGATAATTGTCATAAATACATATTAGATTTTACGAGCTCTGGTTCTGTCAATATGTAAATCTATCTAGAGCCGTAAATAAGGATATGCAGAATAAGAAATTTTCATTTTTAAATAGTTTTTTGATAATAAATATTTCTGGACTTTTAAAGATAAATTTTACTTGAAATAAAAAGAAATGCAGAGATTTTAAATTTACACTGAATATGAAAACTATTCCCTAGTTTTCACCATTGGATTCGTCAAGGGAGGCAGTCTATAATTTGTTCAGATTAGATAAGACGCGTTAAGCAGTTGGTACTGTACTACTTGCTGTATTTTAGGGCGCTGTCTCACTATAATACAGTCTTAG